GGTCTTTATCAAGTCCAAGGACTCAGAAGCACTTCTAAAGTCTTCCACCCATTCCACACATAAAAAATAAATAAATAAAAATTAAAAAATTAAAAAATAAATAAATAAACGTAGTGATTTAAAAATCTTAGAATCCTAAAGTTCACACTGAGACAGTAAACATATAGAACGTTTGAACTACGAAATTATATTGTTTTTGGGAAGAAACAATGGTTGACATTTTTGCAACCAAGCAGGAAAAACATATAATGGTCAATTAAATTATAAAACMTGAGGTAAARTTCTCTTTTTGAATTTAATTGGTGCMTTTTAAGTGTATATATTGGTCCATTTATATWTTTCTGCTTTTMTTTCTAATTATGTCAGTTTCAGTCTTCCATAAAAACCTCTTTTGAACTGGAGTTGTTCATACTTGAACTCTTTCTTCTCCTAAACTGGAAACAAATACTACATTTTTACATGTCTTTCTTTATTCTATTACAWTTCTTCCATGTGTTTATTAGACACTATGCCACTGAAAACATGAGCTGTGTGCAAACATTAAAAAAGAAACATGCTGTACTTACTGTTTCTGTTTTCTTTGCATAATTACACTTTAACACTTGAGTTAACATTGGAAATGAGTTTTTAGATCATAACAGATACAACAACTCTCTGGAGTTTTGAAGTCACCCCATTAACAGTGAGAACAGTGTAGATTAGCATAAAAGCAGCAACCAACAACATGAACTATCACTTCTAAACCAACTCATTACAGTAAAAGCAACACTTAGATTGTGAAACACACTTAATACTTCTCTGATGGACGCGGTACAAAGATCACAGGCTGTGCTAATGATGTGAAATAGTATTGAGTTTTAATTTCCGAGGAGGTAAAAGGTTAAGCATTGTGAGGAGTGCTGAATGCACGCCATGTAGAAATGCAACGTGATTTTAGCTGCAGAAATAAGATAACGAGTAAACGTCAAAGAAATTGAGAAAAGGTGTTTGCAAACTTCACGCAGTTTAGTGATATTGGTTCAACATTTCATGCTGGGGTCATAAGAAATAATAAGAATCTGTCAAGGTTTTCACATTTTGCCATCAGTCTAAAAAATAAGGACATAAATATGGGGAATGACTCTTGAGGTGGTCTAATTTATGGACAGGGCCGGCCCGGTCTCTGATGTCTTTACCCAGTGAAAAATGCGGACTGCTATGAGGTAGCTGTGGGCTGTTGCTTCCCAATTTTATTAGCTTGTAAACGGTTAACAAAAAGTAAAGGTTCTAAACTCACAGAATCATTTTAATCTCATCCAGGTTACAAACAACAATATAATTTGTTTCTTATGATCACAATCCCACTCTCACATTTAAGACTTTTTATTATATATTTGTACTCTGAATATAAAGTGTTATTACTGACTTGCACACCAATAAACAGGGAAGTGGGGTGTGGAAGTAAGTGTTTCCCTTAGCAAAAAGTAGTATACTTGAAGTTTCTTTTAATAAGTATACTTGATATCAAGTATGCTAGGCACCATGTACTTGTAGTGTACTAGAAAGCATATTGATTTAAAACTTGTTCGTACTGAATTGGGACGTTTAGTATATAAAAAGTGTACTTTAAGTATACTGTTGTGTTTTTTTAAGTTTATAAACTTACCAAAAAGAAGTATACTTTAAGTACATGTCTTAAGTATACTGAAATATATGAGTATATTTCCTTAAGTGTACTTTTATTTACCATGTAAACTGATATAAGTATACTAGCAGTTTATTAACAAATATACTTCTAGGACTAAAGTGACCCACAAAACATTTATGAAAGTACACTCAGAAGTAT